AAAAATGAGAGTGGAAAGAAAACTTTCATAAAAACCCACTATCTAACTTACTTGTTTGCAAAAACAGCTGGTTTTTGAACTTTTCGCGTTTCAAGTCCAAAATGAGGGCGCGATTCCCGCTTCTCCCAAGGTTTCTGCTATCTTGTGTGATAGGCTACTCTACATACATGAAGCACAATGTCGCGTGGGTTGTATAAGTCACGTTCCGAATACAATTTCTTTTCTGGTCCTCCGCATCAAATTTTACAGAACATATTGTTACACTTCGTCTAACCTTGGCTATCTTATCGAAAAGATGTCGATTGGTTTTATCTAAGACTCTGCACTTTCCGTCATAAACTTGCGAAAATGGTGCACTGATTAGGCAGAAAATGCTTAGCTTGGATACGATAAATACTAAGAATGATCGATCGATTTATTAACAAATCGGTTCTTCGTACTTCCCTCTAGGGTGCACAAAATTGTTCACTGAGATAGAGATTTGTTGACTAAATTTGATATTTCAAGAGATATCTACGAATTAATAGTTTGTTTAGGCTACTAGCAACTAATATAAAGATGTGTGTTAACATGTTTAATAAGAGCCTGGTTACCATTTTTTTGAGTCGAGATTCACTAAAATTCAGTCCTCTTGGTTGGAAATTTGAATCAAAACGAAGGAACTGCTGGCTTAAACTTCGGGCCAGCCAGGCGTAGCGTAACAGAATGCAGCTAATGTCCTAGTAGTCAATGATTAATAAAGTGTCAGTAGATACTTACAGAATCTCGATTTTTAACATAACAATACTTTATCTGTTTTGGTATTTAACACCCATTCTAATAAAATTAAAAAGTTTCATATTAACAGGAGCATCTCATACGTTTTACACACGTTATTAACTGTCCAAAGAAAGTTCACATAGTTGAATGCACTTAGAAGTGCACCAAGGATGCATGTTGCAGTGAGGATAATCGTACGGGACGAAAGGTAACAGAAATGGGAAAAACAATTTTACATGGAAAAAAGAAATGCAAAGATTGAAGCGAACGTAAAATTGAGGCGATATGAGGTGGAATGAAAATGTTAGAATAATGAGGACAAACTACGATCAAGCTGCTACACCTGACAAACGTCAGGCATTTGGTTCGCTTAATGAGAGACGACGCAGTACCCGCAAAACAGAGACAAACGTGCCTCCACAGGATTAACAACTGGGCTATAATTATAATATACAGAGGTCCGAGTCAAATAGTTTGAATCAGCAATCATAGCAAACAGGCTCAATGAGTGAAGCGATAAATACACATGAAAATACACAACTCGGGACAATAACTGCAGTAGTACTGTATCTGCAGCATCCTCCTTCCATCAAGTTTTCAAGAGCCCATCAAAACAGAGCATACCGTTGCAGAACACACTCTTTTTATCTAACGCTTCTTCGCTTTCTTCTTTGCCTTGCATCCGCAATAGAAAAATTCGTCATCAGGGGCTTCCTCGCGTCCAAGAATGCAGATATTGTGAAACCAATTTTGACAGTCATCGCAGAAGATCTGAAAACAAAGTGATGTAGCGAACTGCCGAAATACTGAGTAATAAAGGATGTTCCCAAATCATATTGCGTTTGGTAGTAGTGACAAAAGTGTAATCAATAACTTTCTCAGGTTTGTAGGGCACTGTACAGTTTCACTTGCTGAAAATACCGCTGCGCAGAGTGTTACCAAATTTATCACACTAATTCACCACTCAGAATCAAGATAGTAAACAACAACTTCATGCAGAGAAGATGAGATGAAAAATATAAGCTCCGAGAGCATATAGGAAAGAAGATGTTTTATAGATACGAAAACCAAAAAAACTAGCGAGCTGCAATGGACGATAACCGGCACTCAGCACCAGTATAATCAACCAAAGAATATTTGCGAAGGTTTGAGAGATCTATACAGGCATTCATTCTGTTACAAACTGCTACAATTCATTGAATTTGCAGAAAGAAAAAATCCCAAATGACATACCCATCCGACTTGTTCGCTTTGCGGTTTGGTACACTCCCCATTTAAAGCACACGTAGTCTGTGGATCATGCTGTGTCACTGACTCCTCTTCATCACTGATCGCCTCCTGCCGTTTCCTTCCCGGTCCCTAGACTTTAATATTGAGCAAAATGAAAGAATAAGGACTTGGCAATGGGAAAACTGCGATAAAGATACCTTTCCTTTTTTCTTCGAAACAACAGCAGACGAGTTTGAGGTATTTGATTTCCTTTTATCGACGAGCTTCTCACTCGATGAGTAGCGTCGCTTATGACCTTTTTTCGACGTTACACGATCGTCAGAATCATAATCAGAGTCAGAAGAACGGCTAGATGACACGTCTGATGCAGATTTTCCAGCAACTTTTTTCTTCTAAAAATGAAAATTTTACTAAAATATAAAGTGAGAATACGAACTTGTCGAAAGTAATTCCACTACCGATTCAGCCCTCTTCTTTTCAACTGCCTTTCGTGATGTCGGCGGTGACTGTTCCGAATCACTCGATGACTCTGAGCTGCTCGAATCATCGCTCAACTGTTTCAATCTCCTTCGCCCTGGTTTCGAGGGAGCTGGTGTCGCCATGGATGAAACAGAGGAAGATGAAGCAAAAGATGCACGCTGTTCTCGAGAGCGCTCTTTCTTTCGCATTTTTTCTATCTGAACAGTGGTCTTTAACTGATTACTTGATGAGACAGATGTTCTCACCTTCTTCTTCTCCTTCTTGCTATTCCTTTCAATAATTATTTCATCAGTTGGCCTTCGTGAAGTGGATGAAACACGTCGCACGGTATTAACCCAAGATCCTTCGCATAAATCATCCAAGAGACGAGCGATCTAAGATATACGACACTAACTGAAAACAAAATGCTTCTAACTCAAAAAGATCATTGATAAAGAATTCTGCGCAAAAAAATCCTTTGAAAAAGGCTAACATCCCCCTCCTATATCTACTAAACGGCTTTTTAGGCGACCTTTTAAGCTCGCTTATTGCAAATGGACTTAAAGTATTAGTTAGAGCTGATATGGCGCAGTAGAAAACCTCTTGACTCGTACATATCCTATGCAGGTTCGAATGTTGTTGTCGGCAGCTCTTTTCCATTCACTAATATCGTCCAATTCAATGAAAATGGAATGAAAAATTTGGAAAGCCTTTCCAAAGAGACTATTTAGTTATACATCTGGTTATAGATGGCCACATAAAGTGGAAAGCGTTCCTTTGTAAACATCTTTTTTACTTACCTCATTAGCTTTGGTCCTAGGACGAGAATGACTAGGAGCGGAAACACGGGTCTCTTTCGCAACTTTCTTTTTGTTCTGCTCCCTATCTTTTTCTTTACCCTTGTTCTTCGCCTTCTCTTCTTTGTCCTTTTCAACATCCTTTTGGTCCTTTTCCTTTTCATAATCCCTATCTTTTTCAGTATCCCGGGTCGCCGTGCTTTCCCGATCTGGAGAGTAATCTCTAGGCCTAGGAGACGGAGTGCTATCCCATGGAGCTGGAGCTGGTGCTCGAGGTGGCTGTGGAGAGTCTGCGAAGCTGCGTTCTGATCGCACATCTTCTAAAAATGTATGATTGTTAAGCTAGTACAGATGTACGACTCTAGAGTTACTTTGTCGACCTTCCTTCCTTAGAGGAGAGACATTTGCACGTGAGGGCGGCTGGGCGGAGGAGGTATTGGAAGTTGAGGCAACTGATGTTTTTGGCGGACTAGGAACAGAACTATCGCACTCCATTGGAGGCGATGCCACAGGAATTTTGGTGATAGGGGCTGGATCCGGGACCTTAAAATGATATATCACTATGCAGATGTTCTTGACATCTTCACACATACATGAGTTGTTGCGGACGTAGTAGCCGACACCGGCTCCATACAGCCAGAAGACAACTTAAAATATTTTAAAAGAGCCTTATCTAACCCAAAACCAATTTAAACATACCCTTGTCTCCTTTCCAGATATGGTAGCATTTACAGTGTTCTTTTCATCTGTCGCCATGGAATGTTGCTGTTGTTGCAGCTAAAATTTCAATCAATATCCTAGAGTATTCTAGTCAGAGTAATAATTAAGCGATTCAAGTGAAAGCTTCTTCAAATATTGGATTACTACTTGAAACCGAACCATGAAAGTAAAGAAGGGTTTTGTACAGCTGCATAATCTTTATACCTGTTGCGGTAACTGTTGTTGATGAGGAATTTGCTGACTCTGCTGCTGACTCGAAGGGGATGGGGCAGCAGGCGTTAGTAACGAGTTGACCAAGGCATTGTTCTGCAAAATGTGCTATGATTGAAGAAGAAAAACAGAAAACTATTAACGTTCCACACTTGTAAAGCAAAGCCCCGTTGGGTGAGCGGAAACAGAGAAGCAGAAGTAGATGGTGGACCACTCGAAGGACCCATGCATGCCGTTGCTCCAAAGACGTCCGGAACGCGAAATCCAGATTGTTGTTGAGAATGAACTGCTTGCTGAGATAGCATTTGAAGCTGTTGTGCCCATTGGGGATGCTAAAAAACATCGTTAACAAGCAGCATGCCTGCACACCTCACGTTCAGAACAATAACGGCAATGCAAGACAATCAAAGAATAGGAACTTCATCTCATCCTATGCAATTAACACAACAATGACAAGGATGGCATAAGGAGTTCTTATCAGAATTAGCATATTGCAGCATGAGCAAAATAGTGAGATACGTTTCCATCCCCGCTAACTGTCGGCACAAGATAAAATGAGAGCAACTACATTTTCATCTTCACCGCTGATTAGTTTCGAATCGGAGAGACTAGCCACTGTGCTCATCATTGAATACGTTTAGAATACTGCATTCAATGAACATATAAAAATGTTTCCTCAAAAAACCAATCATAGCAATCATACGATTGAGGATTTGCAAAGTTTCAGGTGACACTATGTGACGGAGTAAAGGAGCAAGTTGAAATGAAACGGAACAAGTAACATCAAGAAACACCTTCGAAAAAATATAAATTAAAATTATCCTTGCTTACTTGCAGATACGCAGGATTTACGGGAAATCCACTATATGGAAAACCAGGAATTGATTGATTGTACCCAAGAGCACCTGGCCATACCAGACCAGCCATCGGATTTGTGCCAGCAGTGGACGAAACGCTAGCCGTTGTGCAAGGAGCATTTAGCTGGAAATCTCAAGGTTCCCCCCAAGAAAAATTGAAATAATGCAAGCTCACATGTTGTGTTACATTCTGAGAATGTGGAGGTTTCACAGATTGCATAACTGTAGGACGAGCTACTTCACCCTAGAAATCTTACTTATCCTTCGTGTACAAGAAGTGGAACAAAAAAGACTAAGAAGATGAGCTCACGTGGTCAATGGTCCTTCCCTCGATTTCCGTACAGTATTCTGTATCACCAGAGCAAGTTACAGGGCGCACACGTCTACCATCTACGAACCCAATGTAGTCGTAACTGGGATTTGCTCTTTCTACCATGAAAGCAAATTCGGCGTTGGCCTAAAAAATTCGATGATCTCGTACAAGTCGAACAGTAATTGACGGGTTTATAACGCCAGAGCATTCACTACGAGATGACTTCTCTCTTTTTGTATATGCAAACAAGTGCTGACCAGTCAGCATAGAGCGACTTTATTTTCTGACAGCTATCTCCTGCCTCTCCTCTTCCTCGAAAAACGGTGACGACGATAGTAGAGAGAATCCATTCTACGGAAGAGTTAGGGAATACCTACTGCAGATGGAAGTACTGATATTGTCAATCTAATTTCATCTACTTAGCACTGCGGGATATCTAACAAACGTGCTCTTTCGGCATCTAACCAACTACCAATGCCAGATTCAGAAATGCAAAGTCAGAACATTAACAAGCATGTATGAGTTAGCCTCTTAAACAAGGCTCTGGCAACGTTGCAAGTCAAGAATGAAGCGAATATTCAAAGATTATGCTAAAGTCCAGGTTCTACAAATGCTAGTGATAAATGAACAGAAAAACGCATGTATCACTTTATTTACAGGTTAAGCATCAAAAGCAGTCTTCATTTCTAGTGGACCACAGGCGTAAGGAAGTTGTAGATATCAAAACCATAAACTGGAAACTAGAAAGGATCTCTGTATTTCAATTATTGCATGATACGTGTTCGATATTTTAGCATAAGGTACTACATTTTACATCAAGACCTAATGATGTATGAAATGGAACCTAATCATTGTTGACCTTCCGAAACTTTGATAGAAGGCTGCACGGGTATTTTTTGTTGTGACGTAGCATTCCACACGAGTTCTCAAATCTTCAATCCCTGCTTATCAAAAAGTTCCCTTTAACAGAAAATTGCACTTAAAATTTACCTGTGGCGCAGTTTGCCCTGGTCGTACTGCTGCTCCATTCATGTGACCAAACTTGATCACATCACCTTCCATTATCTGCATAGTACTGTTCACCTGAAAACGCTTTTACATCACTAGCATCAATAAAGGAGACTGCTCATTCCCAGGATAATTCCAGTTAAATCGTGTTGGTCAGCTGCGGACAAATTAGCACCGTGCAACAGGCTCAAATGAGCAGAGTAAATTAATTAAAAATTCATAAGGTTTCTCAAAACATGATTTTCCTCAAAAAGGAAAAGAGTTCGACTAAATATCAAACATGACAGGTTCTAGATCAAGCTACCCTATTGCAACATGATTCATCTGGCACTGTAAACAGCTGCAAATTCTGCTAATTTGCTTTAGTTCTAGATTGAATCTGCGCATCCGATTAATAAGAGAACTGTACTGAAGATGCACAAGTAGGAAGAGCGCTTCACATCTTATTGAAAATATGATTCTGGAATTGTTGAGTGCAGTAATTCTTGTGTAATCTTGCCTCAGAAATTAACTTCATGACTTCAAAAGACTCAGATTGCTGCCAGAACGTCACATATCATATATAGTCTGTTGTCGCCTAATGTCGCGACAATATTTGGTCGGACTCGCTGCTTTTCAGCCTTTTTAAAGTGGAAATTAGATGGCAGAGGCAGCGAGGGGCGTTCAAGTTCAATTAGCGGCAAACAGACTATACCTTCTCATAAGCATTATCGCCAAAGAAACCAATAAGACCTACTGTGAGCACGATCTCCAAAGATTAGGTGAAAAATAATTAAAGAGTAACGAAGAAAAACGAGATCTTAGATTGGGCTTCACTTCTTTCTATTTAGACTGATTTTGAAACATTTTGCGTTGCGCAACGTATCAAAGCTATCACTGCTTGGCTCACTGATGAGCACAATCCACCAAATGCAATAAAATTAATATTCATCCAGAAACTAGGAACCCTGAATCAAAATATTGAGCGACTGTAATAAGCTCAACTTTAAAAAATAATTACAAAGTTCTAAAATATTCCTATTTACATTAATAAACTGACCACAAAATGAAA